TAAATTTGCAAATGTATTTCGCCTAATGCTCATTCCATACTAGTTTCACATTTTGTTAATAATCTTTTCAGGCAATCTTCCTTTCCCTGATGCAGAAATAAGGATCTTTCTTGTAAAACCTTGTGCTCTTAATAAACTATAGATTCATGCAACCTTTTAATTATGCTTTATTACATTTTAAATAGATTATGTAATACTCTTAATTTTTTAAATTAAAATTTATAAAATTTTCAATGACAAATAAACATTAAATGTTAATTATAAAATTTAAAAAGATAAAGTTTGTACAATTTTAAATAAATATTAAATATTAATACAATTTTAAATAAATATACAATTTTAAATAAAATATTGTACTAAACTTTGATTCAATTGCTTTTTTCATTTCTGAACACTCGAATTTTAAATTTATGTCACAGTTAACTTTTTAAGTTATAATTAAATCACAATTCTAAATCAATTTAGAGTTTAGTTTTGTATAGTTAAAACTTTTATCACCATTTTTTATTTTGTAATCAAAAAGCTGAGGAAAGTTTACAAAAGGATCGTTGAGCTCAATTGTCTTTAGACTCACGAGTCCTGTATAGTTGAAAATGTATATTACACGACAACTGTAATGACGATGATTAGTGGCATATTTAAAATTATATTATTGCAATCAAGTTAATACATTTTTTAATTTTTATATTTAGTTTTTTGCAAAAAATATTTATATTTACTTAATATATAATTTATTAATTATTTTAGGCACTCCAAGAAGTCCTGACGGTCTTATCACACAGCACCGCGCAATAGGATTTAATTAGAAAGTTGATGCATATATGACCAGAGCCGGCTTTGAACGTCGCTCGTTCAGTTATGAAGTCAGAACTCTAACCAGTACACCACGGCTGCCCATTATTTTATTTATTGGCTCAACAAAAATATTGTTAAATAAACATTATCAACAGTTTTCATAAAAAAATTCTTTGGAGTACTTTCGTTAAACTCGTCTTTTTTAAATCGACGTACTAACTTACCTGGTGAATATAAACAAATTGCTTCAGGGCGAGGAAAGAAGGCACACTATAAATATATATATATTTACGGGCCTTGTTGGGTAATAAACTATTTTATATTGTCATAAAATATTTGACCCCTTAACACGCTTTGATTGTCATAAAATTTTTGAATCTTAAACACGCTTTCCTACTTCATATGCTCATCAGTTTGTTTTCTTCTAAAAAATCAATTAGAAATGTCCCAAAAATTTGTTCAATAGAATTGTTCTCTAAAAATATTTACAAAAATTTACAAATAAATACAAATATATATTTTTTTGAGCATCGGAGACTCAGAACTTAAAGTCGACAAAGAAAAAAGCTCAACTCGTCTTTAAAAAAATCCAATTCATCCAAATGATTTTAAAAGAAAAATTAACATCCAATCATTTTGAAAGTCTAATAATTTTGAAAAAGAAAACGGAAAACACAAACATAATTCATTTCGAAAAAAAAAAAATAAAAAAACACTAACATAACAAAAATAAAAAAAAAGATTTCATTGATGAAACATTACATAAGAGGCTTAATTGAATATTACATCAATGACATCACCATCTTCTATACCGATATCTATTGCAGTTTTATTTGGATCAATTTTATCGCCATCAAACGTAAATGATGTCGTTTCGATATTAACATGGTTGGACTCGCAATATGTACTGAAAAGATCCGACAACTTTTCAATCTACAAAAAGAAAAACTGATCATTACAATTAATTAAAAACAAAAAATTACAATAATTAAGTTTCAATCCGCTGAGATACATAAGTTCGTTGTTTTACACAAACATAAAATTACACTGTTAATTAAGATTCATGAAAACTAAAGGGAGAATGTGATACTAAAAAATCTTAGTCATGTAAAGCGCCAGCTTTGTTTTTAGAAAGACTTCAATAAGGCTTTTTAGCATGAAGTTATTTTTGATGTCAGCTTCAATTTTTTCATTAAAGTTTTTTTAATTTTTTTTAATTAAATGGAAAAAATAGTAAATTAGATTTGAACAAATGGTGCAAGGTAACGCAGCCGGAACTGAACCAAAACACAATCTTTTGTTAATTCTTGCAGTAACTGAGAAATGACCCTGGAATGTATTGGGCTCAGAAAAATATTTCATAGGAATTGATAGTTATAATAAAAATGTAATTAAATTTTTATTAACAGAAGGAGAGTAATATTGAAAAAACAAATAATTTTTTGGTACTGCTATTTTCATGCTCACAGCTGTATATATATATATATATATATATATATATATATATATATATATATATATATATATATATATATATATATATATATATATATATATATATATATATATATATATATATATATATATTAGAAACTAGGTGATGACATACATCATACATTAGTACATCAAGAGATCATTGGCCTCCTCAGGTTGATTGGAGTTTTTAACTTTTCCCTGACTTCTTTTTATTATGAACACCTTAGCAACGTAGCTGCAAAACATTCTCATCATAAGATCATAATTTGTTTGAGGCCTGAAAAATTGCTTTGTGTAGTGGTCTCTGATGTTTTAGTCTTAAACATTAAGCATGAAACTAAAAGCAGCCGTGGCGCAGTGGTAGCGCACTTGCCTCAGAAACGTAAAATCCGTGGTTCAAACCCCACCTCTGGGCAAGTTTTGCGACATCGGTTGGAAAGGAGGCGTGAACTTCCTAAATGCTCTTCCGCGGTGCTCTGTGATAAGACCGTAAGGACTTTTTGAGGTACCTTAATCAAATAAAATAATAATAATAATAATAATAATAATAATATTAAGGAGTATAAAATGACTATTTTTCGCAAAAAGTTTCTTAATTTTATGGGCGTTATTTAAATGACCAAAACACATTTGACATATTTAAAGTGAAATTTTCTAGATGGAAACGACATTTTAAAAAAGTTTAAAGACGTCATTAAAACTGAAAGTACTAGAAAGTACTTCTTGCTTTCAATACAATGAGAAATTAGAAAACTTTTTTTCTCGAAAACAAGCTAATTTTAACTCTTTACTAAACTTAACTTTTCTTTTTACATAAATAAAAACTTTTTACATAAATAAAAACCAATAATAAATAGTTAATAATTAGTTCATATAAAATTCAGTGACGGATCCAGCATTTTTTGGTGTTTGAGCTAACTTCCAGATATAGAGCAAACTCCAAACAATTGTATGTTTATAATTATGTAGAATAAATATCAAGTTTATAAAATATTTTTTGTGTTATTCTCAACTAGACTTATATTCATCAAAAAATTTTAAATTTCTTAGTATTATCTCTCAACGTTCAAAAATTATGACCATATAAAATTTGTCACCCCTTTCAAATAGAGGGGAGGGGGTTTAAACCCTCCCGTTTGGAGTGAGAGAGAGAAGAAATATTGGAATTTATTTGTTCCTAGCTTTCAAATCCTTATTTGTTCCCTCCTGCTTCATAAAATGTTCCATAACTTTTTACAATAACATTAAAAGTATTTAAAAAAGATTTTAATAAGATTTAAATGATTATAATTGTTCTTTATGCGTCTTCTTCTTGTTTTTAAAGTCCAGTATTTCTTTATGCGTCTTCTTCTTGTTTTTAAAGTCCAGTATTTTTTTATGCATCTTTTTCTGTTTTTAAAGTAAAATTTACAATTGGGTACCATTTATAATAAAAAGCATAGTACCTACTGCGCTCAGCTGAGCTCAGAAAATTTGGTTGTAAATTTGCAAATGTATTTCGCCTAATGCTCATTCCATACTAGTTTCACATTTTGTTAATAATCTTTTCAGGCAATCTTCCTTTCCCTGATGCAGAAATAAGGATCTTTCTTGTAAAACCTTGTGCTCTTAATAAACTATAGATTCATGCAACCTTTTAATTATGCTTTATTACATTTTAAATAGATTATGTAATACTCTTAATTTTTTAAATTAAAATTTATAAAATTTTCAATGACAAATAAACATTAAATGTTAATTATAAAATTTAAAAAGATAAAGTTTGTACAATTTTAAATAAATATTAAATATTAATACAATTTTAAATAAATATACAATTTTAAATAAAATATTGTACTAAACTTTGATTCAATTGCTTTTTTCATTTCTGAACACTCGAATTTTAAATTTATGTCACAGTTAACTTTTTAAGTTATAATTAAATCACAATTCTAAATCAATTTAGAGTTTAGTTTTGTATAGTTAAAACTTTTATCACCATTTTTTATTTTGTAATCAAAAAGCTGAGGAAAGTTTACAAAAGGATCGTTGAGCTCAATTGTCTTTAGACTCACGAGTCCTGTATAGTTGAAAATGTATATTACACGACAACTGTAATGACGATGATTAGTGGCATATTTAAAATTATATTATTGCAATCAAGTTAATACATTTTTTAATTTTTATATTTAGTTTTTTGCAAAAAATATTTATATTTACTTAATATATAATTTATTAATTATTTTAGGCACTCCAAGAAGTCCTGACGGTCTTATCACACAGCACCGCGCAATAGGATTTAATTAGAAAGTTGATGCATATATGACCAGAGCCGGCTTTGAACGTCGCTCGTTCAGTTATGAAGTCAGAACTCTAACCAGTACACCACGGCTGCCCATTATTTTATTTATTGGCTCAACAAAAATATTGTTAAATAAACATTATCAACAGTTTTCATAAAAAAATTCTTTGGAGTACTTTCGTTAAACTCGTCTTTTTTAAATCGACGTACTAACTTACCTGGTGAATATAAACAAATTGCTTCAGGGCGAGGAAAGAAGGCACACTATAAATATATATATATTTACGGGCCTTGTTGGGTAATAAACTATTTTATATTGTCATAAAATATTTGACCCCTTAACACGCTTTGATTGTCATAAAATTTTTGAATCTTAAACACGCTTTCCTACTTCATATGCTCATCAGTTTGTTTTCTTCTAAAAAATCAATTAGAAATGTCCCAAAAATTTGTTCAATAGAATTGTTCTCTAAAAATATTTACAAAAATTTACAAATAAATACAAATATATATTTTTTTGAGCATCGGAGACTCAGAACTTAAAGTCGACAAAGAAAAAAGCTCAACTCGTCTTTAAAAAAATCCAATTCATCCAAATGATTTTAAAAGAAAAATTAACATCCAATCATTTTGAAAGTCTAATAATTTTGAAAAAGAAAACGGAAAACACAAACATAATTCATTTCGAAAAAAAAAAAATAAAAAAACACTAACATAACAAAAATAAAAAAAAAGATTTCATTGATGAAACATTACATAAGAGGCTTAATTGAATATTACATCAATGACATCACCATCTTCTATACCGATATCTATTGCAGTTTTATTTGGATCAATTTTATCGCCATCAAACGTAAATGATGTCGTTTCGATATTAACATGGTTGGACTCGCAATATGTACTGAAAAGATCCGACAACTTTTCAATCTACAAAAAGAAAAACTGATCATTACAATTAATTAAAAACAAAAAATTACAATAATTAAGTTTCAATCCGCTGAGATACATAAGTTCGTTGTTTTACACAAACATAAAATTACACTGTTAATTAAGATTCATGAAAACTAAAGGGAGAATGTGATACTAAAAAATCTTAGTCATGTAAAGCGCCAGCTTTGTTTTTAGAAAGACTTCAATAAGGCTTTTTAGCATGAAGTTATTTTTGATGTCAGCTTCAATTTTTTCATTAAAGTTTTTTTAATTTTTTTTAATTAAATGGAAAAAATAGTAAATTAGATTTGAACAAATGGTGCAAGGTAACGCAGCCGGAACTGGACCAAAACACAATCTTTTGTTAATTCTTGCAGTAACTGAGAAATGACCCTGGAATGTATTGGGCTCAGAAAAATATTTCATAGGAATTGATAGTTATAATAAAAAATGTAATTAATCTCAGGGACAATTTAAAGCGTTTTTACCACGTTTTTATTAGCTCGCTTTTTTGTTTGTTTGTTTGTCCGGGTGGAATTTTGCAACTCAATTTTAACCCACTTTTCGATTAGCTAGAGCTCTGAAACTTTTACTATAGCTCAGAACCCGATGACAATGCAATATTATACTACTTTTACCATGATTTGCCGAGTTTCTTGAACAATTTCAACAATATAAAATTTATAATGGGGAAACTTTTGGAGGCGTCGCCGCAATTTAACGCGTCGCTTTAAATAAAAAATTTTCGAACAAAAAAACCAAATTTAACTGTCGCTGTGATTTTAAATGGACCGCAGCATAAAAACAAAATCAGTTGTTTACAAAATATAAAATTTCACCCATCAAAAACTAAAAAGAAGAAAATAATATAACAAATAAAAAAACTTTTTATAAAACCACGTTTTTGTAATGAACTAAAAAGTAGAAAATAATTTTCTCTTGAGGCTATAGAAATTTTTGAAAATTAATTGAGTCGATAGTAAGTGACATGAAAACTTTTGATTATGAATTCTTAATAATTACGATAATATTTGTAAAATTTTAAACGAAAAAAGTGGTGCGCATTTAACGAAAAAAAAAGAACAGAAGAAGGAAGCAATAGTTAAAGTAATTAAGGACGATGATGATCATTTAAAGTGACAAAATGCGCACCACGTTTTTCGTTTAAAATTTTACAAATATTATCGTAATTATTAAGAGTTCATAATCAAAAGTTTTCATGTCACTTACTATCGACTCAATTAATTTTCAAAAATTTCTATAGCCACAAGAGAAAATTATTTTCTACTTTTTAGTTCATTACAAAAACGTGGTTTTATAAAAAGTTTTTTTATTTGTTATATTATTTGTTTTATTTTTTAGTCCTGGATTTATAAGTACAACCAAATTAAAAATTTAAAGACTTTTTTTGGGCTCAAAATCTTTTTTAGCATAATATTTGCAAAAAAAAAATTTTAGATAAAATTTCAAATAAAATATACAAAAAGTAAAAGAAAATCTTTAAAAAAAATTATTTCACTTTTTTTTTTTTTTTTGCATCTATTATGCAAAAAAAAAGAAAAAAAGAAAAAAAAAGTGAAATAATTTTTTTAAAAGATTTTCTTTTACTTTTTGTATATTTTATTTGAAATTTTATCTAAAAATAATAATGCTGATGACATGTCTTTTTTAGAGCATTTATAGATGTCACTATTCATTATATGTCACTATTCATTATATGAGCATTTATAGATGTCACTATTCATTTATGTCACACTATTTATTATTTCATTTATGTCACTATTCATTATTTCATTTATGTCACTATTCATTATTTTATTTGTCACTATTCATTATTTCATTTGTCACTATTCATTATTTTTGAATAAAATACCAAACTTTGTTCAGCATTTCAGTATAAAAAGACATAAAAAATAACTAGTTTAATTAATAAAAACAATTTTTTAGCGTGAATGTTCTAATTAACCAACTACGACAGTCATGGACAACAAGCATATGCTGACATACTGTAACTACTGTTACTTTCGGTAAAATAACATATGTGCTGACACACTGTAAATACTGTCACTTGGTAAAATGATAATATTTTAATGGTACTAGCACAGCTATTCAATTAAAAGATAAATGCAACAATCCTGTAATATCTTTATTGTAGATTCTATTAAAATTTTAAAAATTTAACAATTTTTACGAAACAAAACTGGTATACAGACACTGGATTCTGAAATCTTTTTTCTGATGATTGTTTTTTTTGTGTTGATTAATGTTAACGAGTTAATCAATTTTTTACACATAACAGACAACGATATAGTGTTTCAATGTGTACTTTTTGTTGAAAAAGGTTGTTACTAATTCACTGTTGCAAAAAATGGCCAATAACTACATTGAGCTGACCGCCCCCCGTCCCCCAATAAAAAGGTTTTGAAAGGGCCATTTTTCCTGACTTCAAAAATGTACAACTTGAAATTCAACTATTTTGTCCCAGCATATAATCTTGATTTTTAACTTTTAGCATTTTTCACAGGTTAATATGACAGCTTTCCAAATTTTTCATTTTTAGAGCATTCAAAAAAAAATCATGAAGATTGTTGGAAATTGTTGTACCAGGTAATACTTTTTATAGTGAAACTTAAAAGTTAAAACAAAAAGTTATTAAAAATGTTTGCATTTTTAGGAGGCTCAAGTGCCAGAAAATTTTTTAACGAACCAAGCATCAAAACTGAATATCTTGTCCAAGTACAGCTAATTACAGTACTGTCAAACCTTGGCATGAAGAAATTGAGGTTAGCTATCCACAGAGTCAGTGACTCTAGGATAATGACAAATTTTCTAGTGAAGTTTGAAAGCCTTTGGCGCAGTTACCTGAGTTTAAACACTAAAATCAGCACTCATTCTTTTTTTTCAGAGAGTAGAACCCACTCCACTCCAAAATATTATTTTTTGTCATAACCCTAACCAACATATTACATTCCAAAAATCAGAAAAACCACACAATACATTGTCAACTTCAATCTGACTGCATATTAGCATGGACTGGACTAATAATACAATACCTGGGATTATTTAAATATATACTTCATTTAAAGCCAAAACTTCTATTGTACTAATGTTTAAAGTACTAATGTTTAAAAAATATGTTCTAATGTTTAAAGTTGAATAATTATTTTTACATTTTTCTTTTATCTTTCTTCCTTTTCTGATTCAGATTCACTTACAAACAAAAAGTTTATTTTGTTTTACTTCTGTAAGTTTTACTTTAAGTGACATGATTATAAAATCTGTCTGTATACCAGCAGTATTTCTAAAAAATTTTTAATTGTAGAATTTTAGAATAACTACCAGTTAAAGCTACAACTGTTACATTTTGCTTTTGTTATTTGCGTATTTTTTATATCTGATGAATTATTAAAATGACTCTTGTACTCCAATATCATTGTATATAATTGTTAATAAAAATTGTTTTTTAGTTTTTGTGTTAGAAAACTGTTTTTGGTTGAATTAATAAACTTTGATTTCATTAAGACTTAAGTAATCTATTTCAAATTTTATTTTAATGCTAAAAAATTTCTATGAAGATTTTGTATTTGTTTTCCTTTGAACAATATGATAAAAACTTTTATAAGCGCAAATTATGTAAAGCAAAATTTTTTAACACCAAAAATAACACATTTGGCTAAAATGTTTTTAAATTACACAGTGGCTCATTCATTACAAGAGAGAAAAAAAACTTTTTAAAAAAATTAATAATTTGCAGCAGTGAATTATCTTGAAATGTCACCTTTTTATGCAACATTTTTCTGAGAACTAGAGAAAAACAAATTGAAATCAATTTTAATCCATGAATTAAAAATAAATTGAAACTGTGAGCCATAGAAAAAAATTGAAACAAAAGAACTTTCATTAAAAAATTAAATTGAAATCAAAAAAACTTTAGGCCACCCCTTGAAAATAAATTGAAATTTAAGTATATAAAATCTTGAAAATAAATTGAAATTTAAGTGTATAAAATAATC